TAGGCCAATTTCTTTTAAAAAACTGAAAAACAAAAGTTAATTCAATTTAATTAGATTGGAAATATAAATTAACGTTAATAAAATGATAGAGTCATATCAACTGAATATCTAATTTATTAGAAATAATAATTATAAATAAAATTTAATTTCAATAAACAAAACAATCACCATTCAGTAAAATTGTGAGGGAAACAGACCAAGTAGCTGTGAATTTCAAATTACGTGATAATTAAATGTGTATTTTGAATGAAGGTGAATATGAGAATGTTCTAGAGTAAAGATTCCAAGGAATAATACGAGAAACTGGGGATTTGAATTGAACTTTTCCAAACAAACATCAGAAAGAAATGCAAACCTCTTAGACAAAAAACATGAGAGAAGAATCAGGAGATACCCTAACCATATGAGATCCTTTTAAGGTTACTAATTAAAGAAAGTGCTAATGGTATTTGGAATTATAAGACTTAAGTAAGAGAAAACTAGTATTAAATTTATTGTAAGCATTCCAATTATAGAAATTTATATTTATTTAGGGATTGCAATTAGTAGAAAAAGGACCTTTAAAGTTCATTTAAACAAGCTTACATTGAGAATTTTTTATATGATAAAAGAATTAAAATTGATTACTGAATTTATGACTTCCAAGGAGAGGATACAAATTTGGATGGCTTACATTAAGCCTCAGTTTTTATCCTTAAAAAAGTTCTTAAAGTGAGTGGCAAAAGATACTTCTGATAAAATAATAGGTTTAATTGTTAATTCCCTTAGTTAAAGTCTATAATAATATAAGAAAAGATAAAATAGCGAATAATTTTAGATAAGGTTGATGAGGATGAAATAAGTGAATAGTTGGAAAATAGGATTAGAAAAAAAATAAGCATAAATTGGTTAAATTAAACAAGTAGACTAATTAATAATTCTGAAATTTGAGATAAAGCAGGCCTTACTTATTTAATATATATTGAAGAAACTCAAATAGGAAATATATAACACCTTCAAGATTTGGCAGCTTAAAGCTTAAGTAACCTAATAGGTGACGATAAGGTAACCAAATCAGGCATAGTACTTGAAGTAATTAGCATAAATTTATCTTAGATTTTAAATTGCTGAGGGCACTGTAAATTCAGATACTGAACAGTATCCTCTTCAATGCTTGATTCATGAGATTAAGAAAGATATTCGATCATTATAATTTTAGATAACCCACCCATTTCATGCTGATAAATTAAAAAAAGAATTTAAAGATATCCCTAATGAGGAGTTTTACTTTCATACAATCCTGAATTCGACATGGTTTAACAATATATATTATAATTTATTATTCAAGCGATTAATCGATTGGAGAATCAATACATTATATTATGATTATAATAATGAATTCCTATTATTATAAGTAAAAATCGTTTTTCCAGATAATTATAATATTAGGATTTTAATTATATTAATAAAAGGAACAGTTTATTCCATTTTTTCCAATTATTGAGGATGAAAGATTTTAGAAATTTATATTTTACTTTTTCATCTTCTGTTGAATATTAGAACTATTTTTGGTATAATTATAATCTCAAAGTCCTTTAGCATCTGTTTTTCAAATATTTTAATCCAAAGAAATTTATATGTTAGGTTTACCAATATATAGGAGTTTATTGAGATTTGAAAAAATCTATAATGAGTTGAAATGGGTAAAATTATTAAATTATGAGAAATTCTGCATTATCATTTACGGATTTGATCAGAATAAATAGATTTCTGAATTAAGCCAATAAAAAGAGAGACTCAAATAGACATTTTTTCTAATTAGTTTAATGAATAATTAAATTAAGTTTAACAATTCATTAACCCATTAATTTTTATAATTTAGATTCCTTATTTTTCACATAAGCTATGAATGAGAGGTTAAAATAATGAAGCTCTATTTATATTTACCGGGTCTTTTAATAATGTCTTTTTAGATAAAATTAAGAAATTTTATCATAATTTTTGGATAGTGACTTGGAAAATTTTTTATATTTA